ATGGATATAAATCGAATAGAGGTCGAAATTCACACTAATCAATTCATCATCGTTCGAATGACGTCTAACATGTTTAAAATAAAATGTTGACTTAATTAAAATATCGTATTTCACGTTTGCAATTGCTATTTTTATTGATATAAAAATTAAAAGTGTTAAAATAATATGAAGCTATTTAAAAAGTGGATGTTAGCATATTTATCAACAGTAAGTATAGTAACATCGGTCACTTAATTGCCGAAATTTACTAAAAAGGCACATCGGTTTCGTGTAAGACAACGTGAAAGAAATTTCAACGACGCTTTTAGTTCAATAATCACTGTACTAATCGGTTTCATCTCGAATAGTTTTGGACACAAGACACTTTTTCACTTTATACGCTATCAAGGAAAATATATTTTTGATTACACGCGGAGGATGTGAACTATAATATCACGATAGAATCTGACAGTTCTTGAACCGTTCTTGAAGTTTCAGCTTCTGCTCCTGTCTTCTTCAAGTCATATTTCAATAAGCACAAGGGAGATAAAAGCCACGACTAATCTGTCAAATATGCAATACTTAATAAATTTATTAAAAACAATCACCCATAACCCGACTTTTGTGGATTCGTCTATTTAAAACTGATCACTTGTAACACACACTTTGTCCTAGTTCAGCACTGTTTGTTTAAAACATGAAACAAACCCGCCTATTTCTTCGGTGCCATTGATAATTTATCAAACAAATGTTCGACTGTACACAGAGTAGTGTAAATTTTTAGTGACATGTTAATAAGTGTAAAATCTTCTAACTGTAATACTTGCAACGAAGTCTAGCTAAACTTTTCAGGGTTTTAAACATAGACTTTGAGGCAACTTCTTGGTTTATAAACTACGACAGAAGTAAATGGTGAAACGAAGTAACCTAGTATCGAATGTTGTTACCAACTAAACGTTAAATGGTTGCCTTTACCGTGTATTCTTGAATGTTTCACGCTAATTACGGGCTATCACATAATTTAATCAATTACTATTATCGAATAAAGTTTAAGTATACCTTGTCCCATCAACATAGTAAAGTTTGGCGATATAAGACTTTACACTGCTATCTATTCATCGGGAAGGCAAAATATTATTTACTATTGACAGTCATTTATTTTAGGTGATCGCGATAAAAATGCATAAATGCGAAACATTTGTAAGCTCAGAAATCAGATTCAATTATGAGGCACAATCGGGTTTATTTGAAGAATTTTTAAACTAAATTAGCGGCTTAATTGTTAACGATTATTTTAGTCAATATAGGAGACAATAATGGTATTTATAAATTAAATAAAATATTCTCTAACTGTATTATTATTTCTACATATGGAATTTAAGAGTTGACAGCTTCTTTAATGAAACTTTTTCCAATTTACGCGAGGAACATTGGACGGCACGAGATCCGACGGTCTCAAACAATACCTAAAGCTTCCTTCTTATTCGATTTTTGTTGTCAATTTAATTCAATTTTTAATATAACAAAATTCAGTTGGAGAGTTCTCTCATTATAGCAACGTTTAGAAGATAAAGGGCACGACTTGAATGTTATAGAAATATATTAATTCGTCTCAGTTTTAAATTTTATTCTCGAAGTAACTATTCGTAAAATTCGTTGAGAAAGTGTACAAAAAAAATTTGGTAAAAGGAGTTAAACTGTTTATGCAAGGGACAGAACCGTAGAATAAGTTTGCTTTGCATTGTATAGAGTGTCCTTGTACTGAAACCTAAACAAAATAAATTGGTCCATCTTCTAATAGGCCATTAACAATGATTGATAAATAATTCTTATTGGATTTAGTGTAAATATAACCCACAAAGTGTATAGTCACTCCAGTTTAGGTCTACAGCTGTCATTTCCTATGTTCGCCATCCTTGATTAACAAAATATTATTTCGTTGGCTATTCGAATGATTTCCAGAATAATTACTTTAAGAACAAACCGTAATCCCAAGAAGACACGAAGAAAGACGTGACTGTCCTCGCTAAGAGATTTCGATGCTTACGAGAGTTTATCACCACGTAAAAATATACAAATTCTACAGATTTATGCGACGAACAAAATTTTCTTTCTCCGTCTAATACCAATTACAAACATTTTAGAACATTATCTATCTGTTCTAGAATTTGTTTATTACTCAATTGCAAATCTTGGAACTGACCGACGGAAAAGCATAAGACGTCAAATTTAAACAAACGAGTATCTCAATTTGTTACTATCGATAAAATAATGTTTATTATAATTTCTCAAGATTTTTGATCGTACGAACTAATGAAGGTCTCTGAGAAATTTTTGATTAATTTGTCGTCGAGCGAAAAAGACTCGACATTCGAATAGCTAAGACCTGTCACTATGAAAGAGACTGAAAATTCTGTTTGAATTCTCCAATTCCGTAAATTTCTAGTGAAACGCGTAGAAATTGATGAATTATAGCGTCAAAGACCATACAAAAACCTGAAGAGATCGCGACTAGGTAAAATCCAGGTTCGATTACCACACTCAATTAAAAAGTTTATTTCCCTATCAGTCTCGACTTTTTTCGTAAGAATTTTTTGATTTAAATTCGTTGTCGAGCGAAGAAGCTCGACTCTCGATGCTCAAGCAATTGAAATCTGTCGCTATGAAAGGGATTGAAAATACTGTTCAAATTCTGCGCTTTTTTAAATTTTTAATCAAACGTATCGAAATCGATCAAAGATTATACGAGAGAACTGAAGAGAACTATTCTAGATGGAGGTGAAATTGTACCATCGCAATTTGTAGAAAGGTTTATTTCACTGTCAGTCAAGATTTTAACTGTCGACACCGTCGCTACGATGAAACCGTATCTCACGAACGGAAAGACGAATTTCAATCGCGTTCGTAGTAATTCCTACACGGAAGTAGACCTAACGCGACCGTTTCTCGAATCTTCTACGCCTTATAAAACTAATGCGTCGAAGAGCCTACGTCGAACAAATTGTCGTTAAAGGACACGTGAAAAACAGAAGAACCGAAACATTGTTACGATCCATCTCACAGAATGTTGCAAAAACTTTGCCGTAGGCTCTTCAACGGCTCCCAGTTCCATGGAATCGTTAACCCTTTGAGTGCTAAATAATATTAGTCAAAACAATCGCAGGAGACCAGTGGGAACCCTGGCAATTGAATGTACGAAGTGACGCTCTATTTATTATTGTAATCCTTTTCTTAATTTGAAAAATAATGAATAGAGTGCAAATTCGATGAAAAGTAGAATGTGTATGCACCTACGTCAAACGAAACGTTACTATTCTTACATTAAATAATAGAATGTATTCTACAAGTATTATGCATATTTTTTGTATGTTTTTCATATCGATGTACACCATAAATATACAGTATGCAGTCTACTAATGAATCTAAATAATTAAATTTGAAAACACTGAAAAGTTTAGCAAATATATGCACTCATAAATCACACCTATGGGTTCATAGCACTCAAAGGGTTAACCACTGCCTCCGCTGAAGACTTGGACCGTCGACGGAGCAACTGGTACAATTGGACGAGTTAAATAAGATCCCCGGGCTCGGTTAAACACCGGTCCTTGTCATTCTTTTCTAATCTTATTTCTTTTCAACGATTCCAGATGACAGTTAGATAATCCAATCGCTTAGCCCCATCTCTATCGCTCGTTTCTTCGATCCCGAGTCGCTATTTTTGACAACCAAGAAGAAGAATGCCTCCGAAAAGTTCAAATCAATCCGTCTATCGTTTGCACAAGTGCGTAGATTGAATTGAACCTCGGAACGCGATCGACAAGGACGAGACCGGACGATTAGGTTACGACTCATAAGGAAAATACGCGAACTGTAACTCGAGTTGCCGAATGAAACTTTGCGAGCATGAAGATCATCATCGAAGTAACGTAATATGATGAAAATTGCAGGCGATCTTGATCTCTACACGTCGCTGCGTTTACAGGAATTTTCTTTTTTTTTTTGCTTAAACGTGGATGAATTAACTTCAGCCAAATCCTTTGCATTTCGAACATTCGTTTATAATTCACCATATGTGTAATTAATAGAATGTTTATGCATTTATGACAAATAGAGGGTAGATCTAGGCGACCTACTCGGTTAACACGTTCGCTGCCAGAATAAAATTCGTGAAAATCTTTACGAAGTTAAAATTTTGTCTCGAGACTGTTGATGATTAGATAATTTGACAATTGTTGTAGTACTTGATTTTTTAACTTCTCCAAACTAACAAATCCTATCCTTTATTTTCATTATCGTCTCACTTTTGGATATAATTGTTCAAGTTACTTAACGAAAAGTTCTGTCAGTCATTTCTGAGTAACATAGTGATCAACGTGTTGAACAAGCAGCGGTCGAAAGGGCATACGCACGAGCGTCCAGAAGCGTATCTCTTTTGTCTTTAGAAATTAAGCGACGAAAGCCGAATAACAGTAGCCAGCAGGCAGTCATCGACAAGTGTAAAGTTCTATGTATCGTCGATTTATACAAAATATATGACTTATATATTATTATACTCATATATTAATATATGACTCCAGAATCTATTCTGCACTCGAACACACTCCAATCCTACAGTAAGCTTGTCACTTTGCGTTTCGTGTATCTTTCCCTATTCACAAGTTTTCTTCTCTCTGATCGTCTCGGATTATCAATGCTATTATCATCGACAGTGACATTCTCGACCTATTCACAAAGTTTCATCCTCCACTTCGAGTTACAGTCAACGTATTTCCGTTCTTAGTCCACTTGTATCAGGTTAGATCTAAACGTTCGCTATCATGAACGATAGCACGCCGCAGAATGATACTCTTCGGCGATACCTCGGGGATCTTATCGAGCGCGTCGCGTCGCGTCGCGTCGCGTCGCAACAGTCCGAACGGAAGCGGCGGTCTAACGATTTCCAGGAACAAGGACAGCCGGATCTAGGTTAACTATCATCTATTATAAAAGTAGGAATAAAAAAGGCTGCGAATACATACAGTTGGGGTACTCACCGTCCTTGGGCGGTGAGGGGCATTGGGGCGCGTACGATCCCAGGTGATATCCGTAGGCGTTGTGTTGGTGCATGGGCGCGAACGGATATCCGGCGAGCGCGGACCTGGGACTGGGGAATCCGGCCTCGGCGTGTTGCTGGTTCCCGCTGCCAGGACCGGAGGTCTGATGTCCCAGCGCGCCGACCTGGTGCGAGAACTGATGGGCACCGGGTACGTTGTGTCCGCCAGGGTAACCGCCGCGTAGGCTCGCGGGGTTGTAGAGATTGTTGTGCTGGAGCTCAATGAACGCGGATTTTCCGCTCTGGGAGACGGGCGTGCTGGACGCGGTGCTGTCTCCGCCGTTGCCACCCTGGGGTCCAGGTGTCACCGATCCCAGGCCCGTGTGATGAAGATGCTGCTCCATGTCGGAGCCACCGCCGCCTCCTCCGCCGCCGCCAGCACCGCCACCGCCGCCACCCGACGGTCCACCGCCTCCCGACATGCTGTTCGGGGTCGGGGTGCTGGACGGACAGGGGTCGCCCGCCCCGAATGGGCTCCCCAGGTCCGTGAAGTTGAGCGTCGTCGTGCTGCCCGGACGCTCCACCTTAGTCGCGACGTCGATGCCGCCGCCACAGCCCACGGTTCTCGCGGACAAACTCGCCGACGACGTCGTCGCCGCCGCCGCCGTCGCGCGAATCCCGTACGGGGCCCGAATCTTGGGGCCTCTGGTCCCCGCGGGTCGCGAGCCTGGATGTCAACTACGTATCGGTCGTTACCTCGACGGTGCTCGACATTGATTTCTCCAAATCACCTTTGCGACTAATCCTCCACTGTTCGATCTCCTTCACTACCACGTGTACACTGTCCCTCGACCCGTTCGTTACAAAGTCTCGATACTCGCTAGCGTAGGATCACTAATCACTTCACCCAGCAACGGAGCAGCAGTTCTTCCTCGTTCTACCTAATCTCTTCACCACGTATACACTGTCCCTCGATTCTCCGCGAGAAAGTCCTGATATTCGCCGGAGTAGGATCACTAATCACTTCACCCAGTCGTCGAGCAGTCCTCCTTCTGCCTGATATCTTCACCACGTGTTCACTGTTCCTGGAGCCTTCCTCGGAGAGTCCTCCTTCCACGAGTTTCGATCACTGACCACTTCACCCGCGACGGGAATCCAATGACGGTCTGCTCGCGGTCGCACAGTGATTTCACTGGTGTCTCGTGGATCACCGACGGGTACGGTCACTGGGTTCGCGGTCGACGGATCGCGGGTTCGCGGCACTGACGGAGGAACGGTATCGGTCCAGCTTCGCCGACGGGAACCGGTAATCTGTCGTGGCCCGCTGGTGACGGCACACTCGCGCGAAACCGCGTAGCCGTGATTTAATTGCACGCTCGCCGGATGACACACACGCGTGCGCGCGCGCGCACGCTCGTTCCTCAGCCAGCGAGTGCTTTTTCCACGCGCGTCGCGGCGATTATTCGCGGTGGAGCATCGCGGATGCCCGAGCTGGCGACGATCCGCCCGGCCAGCGCAGGGAGGAAGAAGAAGAAGAAGAAGAAGAAGAGAACGAGAACCGAACGACGAGGAAGAGAGAAAAGCACACACGCGCGCCTGGCCCAGTAACTGCAGTGCACACCGCGCGGCGCGGACCGGTATAATGATACATAATGAAGCCAGAGCCTCTCCCCGGAGCCCGGTGCGCGGTTTCGGAAAGTTGCCGCGGTGGCGCCACTCGTGGCCACGCCTCTCGCGCCGCTCGCCGCGCCGCGCGATTGGCGCGCTGGCTCTATCCCCTCCGCTCCGCTGTGACGTCGAGCCGATTCACTGGTCGCGCGGAGGCCATTATGGTGTCCCTATGGGCGGAGCCACGGTCGAGCCATGCCCGCGCTCTCCCGACGCCCTCGGGGCACACCGTCGAGCGGAGGTGTTCTCTCTACCTGTCCAGGGACCCTTTTCGTTCGTCGTGCGCGCGCTATGTCGCCACTACTCTCCACGGACTCCGTCGGGGGTATGGCTCAGGAGGAAACAGAGAACCGCCGCCCGCTTCTATGCACGGACCTCCGAGTTTCGGCCACCGTTGAGATTCTCCGTTCTCTATCGACCGCAAATCCGCCGGGAATTAAGGGTTGAGAGCTCCGTGTCATCTGGGATGCGAGTGGATCCCGCTGGAACGAGAAAGATCGGATGCTTATAGTCTTCGCGATAGTACTCGTCACGAATTTGGACTAGGATTGTTCGAAGAAGGTTTATCGGTATATTCTCGCGAACCAAAAGTAATTCGTTATCGTCTCCAGGTATACTGAAACGTTTCAATAACTTGATGTTTGTCAGTAAACCTAACAGCTGGGTCAAATAACCGTTTACAAACTTTTGTATACAATTCTTATATACACGCAATATATGAATTATATACATGTATGGAACGTTTCACATATTTGCGTGTATTCTTGAGCAGGGGCCATGCTAATCTTCTCTGTATCATTCCAATTTTAGTATATGTACTGCCGAAGCAAGTACAATGTATGAATTATATACAATTACATATTTTGTTTCACGCATCATTCAATTTATTAGTATCGCGTGAAGTATTATTACATTTAATTGAAAAAAGTGCCTTTGAGACTAATCATTTGTCTGATCATGAAAAAAGCAGATACAAATGAATTCAGGGGCGCCTGAATTGTTATGAAACGAAATGTTGAGTTGCAATTAATCTTTACGTAGTGTTTCAGGAAATCCATTTGAAATTTATGGTTTAATGATATAATTCGTTTGAAAAGTTTCAGAACACGGATACGTACACACGTACAGTTCACATCATACGTCTTAAAAATAGAAACGTTGCTTGTTTTGTGTTGTATAAACAATTGAATTTCAAACGGAGATATCTGCGAAACAATTTCGTATTTTCAGTCTCGTAACTACCGTAGTATAACTCCGAAGAAATATGAAACACAATATAGTCGATAATCATAAATCATATTTTTCTAGATTCAACAAGAGAGTTGAAATATGAGCGAAAGTATATTTTATCTTTCAACCGCTGTAGCATGCAGTATATTATGGTTGATATTTTATATCTTCTTGCACTTGTGCACATTCTGATTTATATAAGCGTTCCTGTAAACATTCGCCAAGTAATTACGAAGACAGTAAACATATTCAGATTTGTCAAGGACGAGAATCATTGCAAAAATTTAGCAAGTAACTAAAGTTGCTGGTGGTATTCAACGAGCATCAAACGTTTGATGACTATAGTCACCGTTAGTACGTACATACATCTCAAGCATCAGGTGTTAGGTATCTAATTATAGTCGCCGTTAGTAAATCTCGTACGTCAGTCATGGCGCGAATGTATGTATTATGTACATGTTTTGAGCAACGATGTATCGTTGCAAGGAACACTTGGGAAAAATACCGTCGACGATATATCGTTGCGTACTCGACGCCGCGACGCCTCTAAAAGAAATGGCTCAAATTAAATTTATGTAACGGTACAAATGATCGAATTTCTTCTGAGAAATCTCGTGTGAAATATTCCGCGAATTGAGAAAATTGTTTATGGGATTAACTTTTTGACATATTCCGTGATTATAACAAAACACAACATGCAATGTACGGGTATACGCTAGACTGATAAGCAGATTACGAATATTTATGCATTTAGAATGCATAAATATATAAAATATGTAAAGTGAAATGGACGTAACAACATTTATAAAACAGAACATACTTTAATTTACATTTCTATTCTTCGTCTGTGTATATATACAAATATGAAATGTAGAAACATCTACAGTCTAGTAATAAGATTTGTAATGAATGATACTAAAATGTTTTTGTCACTGAAGTTATAATGGGTCCTATCTTCACGAATCAGATGTTTTGTAGTAGGCAACCATCTTGACGCTTCCTGCGCGTCATGAGGTTATAATTCAGTCATGTGTTTTGTGACAAATCTTGTGACAAATTATCAAAAGTACACTATTTAGGATTTATCTAACTTACACATTTTACATCAAGCTATAACCAAACGACGATTATATTTATTCCTAAATACTCTTTATAAAACATAACTTATCTATTATTTAATTTTTCCTACCGATATCAAATAACCTTTATTATTGGAATTTAGTTTTATGTTTAGATGTTTTCTATTTAACTTACACTACTACAGAAACCAATTCGATTCATATTTTTAATATTATAAGACATAATAATAATTACATTAATGATGTATTAATATTATTAGAGGTTTCTATTGCTTTATAATTATTTAACATTGAGACTCCTCCAATGTCATAAATACCTGCACTGTAATGGCCAGCAGGTTGAGACTCATATTATGCATTTAAATTCGTTATAATGAATATTAGGTTCACTTACAAGGTTGCTCCTCTAATAAAACAAAATGACGACTAAATATTTCTACTTACACTAGAATTTTAATATAATATAAATGTACGAGTATAAAGACACAGAATTAATTTCTGCAACTAATAAATATAATTTAGGTAGGATCTCCAAGTATAATAGTGTAATTCAATCTAAGTCGGAGTAATTTCAGATTTTTCTTTCGATAAAATGGAATTGAACGTTTATTGCAATTACTCAAAAATGTAGACTCGGGACAGTTTGTCTCCGACATAGAGACTCGCATCGAAACGAGGAATAAGGACGCGCATCCAATGAGAGACAGTAGAACGTCACCGTGACAGTTTGGCAACAGCAACGTCCTTGGCTCCGCCCATTAACCCACCGCGAAAGGAGTGGACCGCTGGCAGATGGAGGTGGAGCGGCTCCAAAGACACGTTTTTTCCGTCCCCGTGTACACGCAACCACGCTGCTAATCGCTGAGGATTTATATTTCAAGAATGGACCTTCCCGACCGATTCGTCGGGAGCAACTTCGAACCTCCATCGAGGTATATTTTTATTTTACGAAGACATTTACAATCGAACTATTACGAGCATTACGTTAGATTAAAAGTAGTGTTCAAGTTTGATTAGAAATTATTACTATCGCATAGGTAGGAGGAGTCTCTTTCCAACTGATTTTGGAGCAATTTTGGACTTTGGAGCAACTTACGAGCAATACGTTAGATTGAAAGTAACGATGAAGTTGGTTATAAATGATTATAATTGCGTAAATAGGAGAAGTTTTAGGTCTTTCTCCCCAGGGCTAAAATTTTCATTCAAGACAATTGGACACTGTACAATCTAACATTCATCGTAATAGTTATTGCTGCAACTTCATCTAAATTCGCGAATCCTATTTAGATTTAATTTTTTTAAATGCTCACCTTCGCAATTAATATATAGGATGCCTTGTCATCCATCATATGAGTGACATGAAGCCAAAAAATTCGAATTTCGTTAAAAAGTAGCTGAACAATTTCTATAATGTAAACCGATTGCAAAAACCACCTCGTAGATTCTTTAAAAAAGTTTCTCCTTGATGTCATAAAATATTTCGGTTTTTCTCTACTTTTCGATTCGAACAATGTTCCCAGTTTTCCAAGAGGCCACTTTCGAGTTAAATAAAAATTGCATTCCGTGAAATGACGTATGAACCACGATGCAGTAGCCAGTGACCTAAATTTTCTTCGAAAGATGCCAATCTCCGAGTGGCATTATGGGTAACAGAAAATTTTTATCGGGCCAATTTCACGATAAACATACAGCGCGGGAGAAAATGATAGCCCGTACAACGTTGTTGTTTTTATTTACAGATATACGTAAGGATAAATATATTTTGCACACTGTGTACATCGCGTGTCCTGTTTTATGTAAACACACTGACGATTGCTTTCGTGGAACAAGCTTTGCGAAGGTTACGAAACGAAATGTAACAGGGAATCTAAAATCAGTGGGACAAAATGAGACGATTGTGCATCTTGAATTTCATATTAGATGATACTAATTGTAAGCTATCGAAGGAAGTAAAAATCTACAGTATATTTTTAAGAAATACGCATCCCTGTTCTAAAACGTTGGCATGTACCCAGGTTATTATTTTTGTAATAATAAGTGATATTATATGTGTTGTTTTAAAAAGAAAAATTTACGATCTTCTTTCGCAATAATTCGTGACTCGAAAGGCTCTAAACTTATCCCTTGAGTAATTGCAATCAATTTGAACTACGAGACATCTCGTATTTGCCAGTGAATGGTTTAAGGTTTAACGTAGCCCCAATTTTTCATCTCGGTTATAAATCATTCTTCCTGTAGAAGCGTACGTTAGTACGACGGCTTTGTTTACGTGGAAATCGTTCTTCCGTGGTTTTCATTGTCCAACGGCGTGTAATTAATCTCACGTTCCCGGACGACTCTATCGGGAATAAATATTCGCGTAATTGAAGCATCGAGTAGGTGTGCGCCGCTGGAACGTGACACAATGTTAATGAATGGGGTATTATCCGTGCAACCAGTATTATTGCGAACGATACCCGTGGTCGGGACGGTAACAGTGCTCGGCGAGTGATTAGGCGTAATTATCATTCGGACGAAGAAATGTCCCCGCGCGGAGCGGCCCGTCGCGATGACAGCGGGCGTACGCTTTCAACTCCTGATTCTTCTTCATGATTTTCCCTTCTCTGCTTCTTTTTATCGGCCACTTCGGATTTCATTAGGAAAATATTGTTGTCGAGCTGAATTTTTGCATATGCCTTCATCTAGACCCGGTGTATCCAAACTTATTAGACGAAGGGATCTGACTCCTCTAACAAGCCACATCAGACCATGGATTTGCATGGACTGACGATCTAGACGTTTATTTTATAGGTAGAAAAAATCATAACTCTCGAAGCTTTTGTACCATTGGACCCTTAGTTTTTATAATACTAATTTGTAAAAATTTACAAATTAACATACGTGTGTAATTTACATATCATAAATATAGATATAGATCTATATATAGTGCGTGTGCAATTGTGTAGTGTGTGGACGTTTTTCGGTACATCATCTCTTAAAGAAGAAGACTGTCGCGCACTCGGTAAAATGCATTACTAGATGAATTTCTAAAAACGAAATGGCTAGAAAATCACGTCTTGAATTTTCATTACAACTACTCTGAAGTTATTTAACCTCGCAAAGAAGAAGACACTGTCCCACACTTGGAAAAACGCATTTCTAATTGAACTTTCATAAACAAAACAACTACATAAACATTTTTAGAACTTCTACTATAAGACAATGCTCCAAAGAAGTAATCCCCAAAATATCAAATATACGTATCGAGCAGAAGCAGTTGTAGGAGAAGTCTCG